CACACACACACACACACACACACACACACACACACACACACACACACACACACACACATATGTATACACTTCTCTGTTTTATCTGTGGCCGTTTTTAATTATCACATTCAGGATCAGATAATGAACGCACTCACGTCATATCATCGTATAACACACAGATGATGAACAAAACTTTCAATTGAATTAATAAATCACGCAATAAGTTTTCTATGATCTATCTCATGCAAGGAAGTGGACGCGGTAAATAACGCAATTACTTAAAAATATCTATTAATCAGGTTTAAAAAATGCAACGGCGTCATCCATGTTATATGCAATTACACCTATTTACGCCTATGAACTTATGCGCTTCTACGCACTTGCCTATGCGCCTATGCATCCATAGATGCACTTCTGCGCGAAGCGAGAAACTCCACGGCTGCGGTAAAAGCGGTACATCTATGTATAACGACGTGCTTTCACTCTAGCCTCACGAACTCAGCAAAATCGCAGTTCCGCGTCTAAGTAATAATGATGTATCGTCGATGCGTATCGGCATAATTGCGATACAAATCTAATTGTAGCCGGTCGATCAGTTATTATCCACGAATGACTAACGCCGGATAATTATATCGTCATGCAACAATTGTGTCAATATACGTTTCCGCGAATGGTTGCAATGCGAATAATACCATCTGCTGACTACGTATTCGGCATACTTCCAAATCTCCATAATGTTAATTAAATAAAGAGCAATATAGCTGCCATCGAAATTGATCGCGCTCTCTAATCTCCAATACATATATGTATATCTTTATTTTTTTTCCTTTTTCTCTCTTTCTCTCTCCCTTCCCTGTTTTCCTCTTTGGAAACGTGAATATAATCTCGGTCAAACATCCGCGTTCACCGTAGCCGGCAAAATTTACCATAGGGTAATAACAATAATGTATACGTCGTAGAAAAACACAAAAGGTGATGTGTTACAAGGTCAAAAATCTCATATCTTGTTAATGTATCTGCCGATATTTATGAGACTCGAATATGTATGTTTCTCTCTCGTTTTTCTTTTCTTTTTTTTTTATCAAGGTGGGCGAAAGCATTATTGAATAATTAATAAGTTCGCCTTCGCCCGCTTCATTTTTAAAAGAGCATAAAATTTTCGGGTTTCTTTTTCGTTTGCAATGGCCATCGAATAAATTAATATTTATTGCCTGTCTATATCGCAACTTGTTTGTTCGTTCGAAAGAAGATATATTTGTATCGATTGATTGCGATATTATTGGATATTACATCGATAAAATTATCTGAGATTCGTTAACGGAATAGCGCTGAAACATTGAACATTGCAAACAATGCTATAATATATAAATTATTTTTTAAATGTATTTCGTATAATAAATTATATGTAATAATAAAGATATATTAATCTTAATAAACACTAGGAAACTGTTTTAAGAGAAATGATCGAATCGCCTGTATTAATAGAGAATCAAATTAAAATCAATATGAATTAGCATTAATAACAAAAATATATTATTAATATTTTAATATTATATACAATACAAATTACAATATTCATAAACAGAATCAAACAGCTGCTATTAAAATTACGTTGTAAAAAAATTCCGTAAATTTACACATATAATAAATGTAAAAATTACATGATTAGTCGTGTAAATATAAAAAAATCATACAATTTTACAGAAATTATTTAATTCCACAAAAATTATGTAAATTTGTTTTTATTGTGTAAATATATCTTATTTTATATGGAAAATTACGTAAATAGTGGGATATTTTGAATATTTTCAGTAATTATTCAAATTTTAGTAATATTACATAATATAATAGTAATTTTTCGCTAATAAATTTTTTTATAATAGTAATTTTTTATTGTTGTTAAATGTATAATAATATAGTGCGAAATGTATTATATCTTATCGTTCCTATACTACACATTCGCGTAATTGTAGTTCCAAAATCTGTTTAATTAAGAAGAGATTATTTTTGCATATTGCAAATTTACAAATGCATGAATGTTTACAACTATTATAATGGTCTCAAAATTATTCACTAATAATAGTTGTAATTTTACACAAAAATGTTTTACAGTGTAATAGCAAAAATTTTAATATAATGTTGCATGTGATTAAATAGAGAATGTAATAGAAAGGAGTTGAATCGTGCTACTATTCTTATACCAAAGCTATTTAAAACATGAACCAGCGTATAGTGATTATCGTTATGGGAACCATTCTAATCACTTTCGAGAGCGCGCTCTTCGATTGCAGGTGCATCTGCAAGTGCAATGTTATCGTGCACTGTTGCAAAATTGAGAGGATCTTTTTTCTCTCTTTCTCTCTTGACGGGAGTACGTTCCCGGACTTTCCGTGGGAGCGGAATTCGTTCCGCTGCGTGGATCACGCGCTTGTCCGGCATAATAAGATGTATGTCTCTGACATAAGACTTTCACCCCTGAGGGGCTCTCTGTTACGATCGATCCAATGGATCTCGGTTTACTGCATCGATACTTATTACCGTTCTGGTTATGGTTATGGAAATCTGCGAGCGCGGGCGTAGCAAAATTATTTCAGACTCCCGTTATGTTGGCTCTTTAATAAATTATACATTAACCTACTGATTTCATAATAATATGGTAAATTTTGTTAGATATTTATCTAATCGATGTAAATTATTATTATATAGATATAAGTATATTATAGATATTATTGTATATATTTTGGATGACGAAATATATGTTTTTTCTTTCTTCATGATCTCATGTACTTGTTTCATTTTCTTTATTTCATATTAAAAGATGTTACCGATTATATATACATATGTTATATGGAGGAAAGGATTGTGAGACTATTTGTATTTTTCAGCCTTTCTCTCTCTTTCTCTCTCTCTCTCTCTCTCTCTCTCTCTCGTTTTTTTTTCTTATCTCCGATCCATTTGAAGACTTAATCGATTAATTATATAACCAAATAAAATTGCCTCGAAGCAAAACTTTGCCGCTGAACTTTACACGCTGTATAGCTGATACAGCCGTTACGTCCGATCTTGCAATCAACACAAATGCAATTCTGCACTTAAGCGCGAAAAATGTTGACGAGATACCGGGTGTCTAGCGCGTCAAATTGTAGGTAAACATTGCACTTTAGTGGCAATGATATAGAAAATTTTCATCGCTTACTCATTTATCGGAATCTTTCGAAAGGAAATATAATTCGATGTTTGAGACTTTTGTGCGTAGTTTGAATTACAGAAAAACTTAAACTTATCTTAATTGTATTAAGATTCAAGTTATAATATCGATTAAGTATGATTGATTTTGCCTTTGTCTTTTAAAGCTAATTTAATTAGAATCGATATTTTGCTGAGAGAGCAACTTGAAAGAAAAAACTCAATTTAATGAAAAATGAACGGTGTAACATTTTTTCATAAAATGTATGTACATATATTTAAATAAATAATGGATTTTCCAACTCGCTTGGGCATTACACGATCCTTTCGCATGTTACGCGACAATTGTTGTACGCGACAATTGTCATTAGTAATGCAATTGCTAATGAACAATATTATTCGCCAAGTAATGTAATAATATTTATTATAAATTAAATTTTTGATAGATTATATACAATTTTTATTTTTGTCATGTTTATCAGAATTGTCAACAAATCTTCAATAAGCATAAAAGTTAAGAAATTCTGTAGACTCAGCAACTAAAGTCATGTGTGGTGATACTTAATATAGGTAGTTAATTGTCAGCATTATAAACAAAGTGATATGTCGATATCGGTGATCTTCCTCTACAAATAAAGTTTTTTTGTAGAAAAAGCAATAGGCTCTATTCTAACTCGTTCAAGTAGATTTTATTTTTGTTTTTAAATGTCTACTTTGATTATATTTCTTACAATTAGTGCAAAGTGTATTTATATCTATATAATCCATAGTTTCAATAAATATTGGGTTGTCCGGAAAGTTCGTATCGATGTTGAAGGAAAATTGAAACGCAGAAAATTTAAATTTTAATATACATTTATTAAATTATATAGGTTAGTCGACACTTTCTGGACAATCCAATATAATATCTAGCACAATGCAAAAGTTTAATCGAAGCATTACAAATGTATCATCAAACAATGTTGATACGTTATAATATTCTTTTCCCATCATGATTCAACGTTTTTCTCTCTTTATCTATTTTATTTATATTTTATATTACTTATCGTATATATGCCACTATCTGATGATAGTAAAATATCTACGAATTTTTTCGCGATGAAACGTGAAAATTGCGAAATGTATGTGCTACATTTAGAAAAGATTGTAGTTTATTATGCATCTGTACTTGTCATAATGTTATTATAATGTTTATTTTCAATCTTTTCTTTCATTTGTACTAATATCAAACGCCAATTACCTACATTTATGTATTCTTATAATAAACTATAAGTCACATATTATCTTCTATAAATACTAAAATTACTGTATAATTGACAAATGTTATGAGAAATATAATTTATATTATGTTTATGTCACAAGAAACATATACTTATATATTCATATATTTATACACACACACACACACACACACACACACACACACACACACGCACGCACACACACGCACGCACGCGCACGCACACGCACGCACATATCCATCTCCATTTTCTTCTCTCCGCCTTTCCATCATTCTATCTTTCCGTTTCCATACTCTATATACAAGGTAATTAACAATAAAATTCTCGCAATTCGGCAGAATCGGCTAAACTGAGACTCGAAAAGTCCTCTATCATTTTGTAATCTTCACAATAGTTAACAAGATATTAATTACTGAAAATTGCCGAATATTGGTTTTTAATCATTTTTTATTTAAATACTATCAATTTTATAGAAAAATAGCAAAAATTGTTTATTTTTTTCTCATAGAGCTCTAAAAATTTTTTTACAATTTTTTATCAACTTTTTATTATTGTATTTTCTTATTGACAACTATTTTTATCAATATGAGAAAGTACGGTATAAAAAAATTCTGAAAAAATTCTCAGAACTTTATAAGAAGTAAATAAACAATTTTTGTCTGTTGCTGTTTTTCTGTAAAGTTAATAGTTTTTGAGTAAAAAATTATTGAAAACCAATTCGGCGATTTTTAGTAATTACTATCTTGTTAATTATTACGAAAATTGACTTTTCGGCAAAATAATAAAGAACTTTTCGATTCAGTTTAGTTCATACACGCGCGCGTGTGTGTGTGTGTGTGTGTGTGTGTACATATATTTATTTACATAGTACATTGAGAAAAAATATAGTATATATTTTTTTCTCGGTGTATGTATTATATTTTAAATAATATTCAAATGTGCAATTTCTCTTGAATTGTTACTATATGTAACTACAGTTCTGCATGATACAATCGCCAAATGTGAGAAAATGCGAGAAAAACGATCGAATGGCAAACCAGCCTTTCATTACGCCGAGGGCATCAGATCGAGCGAATACGTTGCTATAATTTTTCATCTCGTAAAGGTTGCCGATCGACGGACATGCTTCTCCACTGATGCATATCTGTAATTGCTATTGCAGAATTTTGATAACGCATATTCACTGTTTTCTGGTCACTTAAAATACTTTAGTATTTTAGGGTTTTAATCCGAAAATTCAACACTGTAACACTTTTCTTGATCCGATTGGATTCTTATATAGATACAAAAATTAATAGATTTATCTAGATTTCGTGAAATCCATTATATTTCGAATTCGATGGTAGATATATTCATTAATACACCACCTAAGTTACACATAATTACAAATTAAATGAAATTATACAGAGTTTTCATAGTGGTATAATTGAAAGTAAAAACGATAGATTGCACAAATCTGCTTTAAATGGACACCGATTTTTTGCACAAAAGTTATTACTCATAACAATAGTTATTACTCTTGTTGTACAATTAAGCGTGTATTTTTGCGCGCATGTACCTACTTTTTACATTTATCACAGCTCAATAGCGAATGGCGCAGTAAAAGAGATACCGG